GAAAGAGCATATTTCACTCATACTGGCCTCTATTCATTGGCTCCCTGTTAAATCCAGAATCAAATTGAAAATCCTTCTCATCACATACAACGTGTTGAATAATCAGGTCCCATCTTAAAGCCCTCATAGTACCATTTCATACTAGCCCTCTCTACTTCTAAGACTCGGCTTAAAACTTTCCTTTTTGATAAGGTTAGGGCTGGATCAGGTGACCCTGAATCCTCTCTTAGTTACGCTGCAATAAGCCCAGGATGCTGGGGTGTTTCTTCTTCACCCACTATGTCTTCATACACACTCAATGTGTATTATTAATCTCTGACTCTCTTCCACTGTGTTTTTTCGTCCCGTCTTCCTCCCATCACTCCCAACCAGTCGCAGCAGATGGCCTCCCCTCCCTGATCACCCACTCCCGGACCACCTTGAATCACCCTGTATTTATGATAGCATAAATAAATGAGCTTTGATAAGTTATAAATCAGTTACTCTGTGGTCAACTCATTCTAATGTTATGCTGTTTTGCTTTGAATATTGTCATTTTATTCTTCTTTGTACTACTCTACAGCAGTTTATTCATCTATCTTCCCTGTTAAGCATATGGTAATAATAAGAAGAAATGGTCTTATAAAAAAGAAATGCTTGATTTGACTTGACCCAACCCAAAGAAACAAAAGAAAGAAAAAAAAAAGTTTTATTCATACTTTATTCTTCTCCCCACAAGATTTTTTTTTTGGCCTCAGCTATAAATAATTTAACTTTGATAATTAAAATTAATTATAATATGTTAATGAGCTGCATTTAAAATTCATATATTATGTAAGAACTTATGAATTTCTGATTTCCTATTCATCATCGCCAAGCTCCTTTACTCACTTCCTCCCTCTGTTGGCCAGTCAGCAGCAGAGCTGGTGCAGGTGACCTCTTGGAGAACGACCTAGATGTGGTTTGGTGGGTCACCCACACCATTTCCATTCTGCTGAAATGCATGCTGGAGCTTTCCCAACACCAACTCTCACATTCACTCTCTCCTGAGGTTGCTGCAGGTGCCGTGTGTCTCAGTGAGAAGCAATGGATGGTTGAGTGGGAAGACAAGGATTTGGAAGGAACCATCAGGACCAAAATGTAGGTCATCAGGTTCCCACACCAGCCTTGCTCCACCATCCAAAGCCTCAACTCTGTGGGTATTTTTCCTGAACAACCTTCAGACTCTGTGCTCACATGATGAGAGAACACCAGAGAACCTTGTCGGTGACTGTTTTCAGGGTTTAGTTGATGCTACATTTTGGTCTCGTGTTTGAGTCTTTTGCACAGTTGAATTCATTCAGTTTGGCTGCTGGCGCCAAATCTCCCCGCAGGGATCGATACACACTTATCTTATCTATAAGCATCAAAATCAGCCAGATGACCCGTCTCGATCAGCGCTACAGTATGCGTGTATATTTAAGTGTGTGCGTATGTGGCAACCAGCAACCACACTGCACACAGCTGGTGGCCCAGCTGCAGCGTCTTGTCCCAGCAGGGTGTATTCTTAGCTCCTTAAAACCCAGTAAGTGAAATGAGATGAGACAAAACACACATAACCCAAACCTCAACCCCCCACCACACACACACACACACACACACACACAAGCGGTGAGGCGAGAGGCTCCTGCTGAAGTTTGCTGTCTTTTTTTTGTCTCCGAGTCTGTCCACATCTGTGTGTGACTGAGACCGGCTCTGATGTCATATGTTCACGTACATCCGCATTACCCTAATTACATACACAGTTCCTGTCTTTTTATATATGTACCTTAAGCCTAGAAAATGCTGTTTCATTATTTAACATGATGAATATTCAAACCCATTTTAATAGATGTAGAAAGTCACTTTGTAACATTTAATGTTTCTGTACTTTTGTTGTCGTTTGTCACAAAGAGTTACATTGTACTGTTATTTGAATACATTTGTAATTTTGTTGACAGTGATAATTTAATTTTTTGTGTAAGTATATATGGATAGGCTTTATTATGTTGTTGTCCAGAAGGTTACCACCTTAATCTGCTGCCATCTGAACAGCGCGTTGCTTTAACTTAGTCACTGGTTTTGTTATTACAAAAGCCTTTTTATTCATGTGTCATTTCACGCCTTGGGTGGGAGTACTGAAAAAAGCAAACCAACCGCCTGTCTATCCACCAACGAGGTCTAGGAACGGTAATGAAAACTAAGGCTAGGTCTTTATCAGGAATGCTGTGGTAGTCTATATTTGACCCATATTGTTTGGCTGAGTATTAAATTTCATTTACTGTTAAAGCGACTTACTCATGTTTGTACACCGACAGCATCCTTTCAATATGTTGGACTCTGAGGGTCAACCTTGAAACCTGGGAACAAACCTAAATACTTGTTTAGTAAAATCAGGTACAATGTGTTAGCTCACACACAGAATCAGCCTTTCTTTGCAGCCACCCTCTGCAGCGTGTCTGCTCACAAGTACAGATTCATCCAAGGTGGCCATGTCCTCAGTGATGACAAAAGGAAAGAAACGCACAGTTAGTTTGTGTTTTTACAGCTAAAATGGAACTGCTGGCTTTAATGGTATATTTAAGTTCATTATAAATTTATTGCACTTGTCTCAATGCCTGTAATGTATTCTGTTCATTTTATACTTGAGAGTAAAAGGCTTAGAGTAGATACTCGTTTTGGCAGCATGCAGCATTTGAGTGCCTGAACTGTTGCATTAAGAAATATGACTGAAACTGAACATAATTATTTCAAACCAAACCACAAATTCTGTGTACATTACATCCCTGGTCATTTTCCTGACACTGATAAACAGAAAGACCCAAAGCCTATAAAACTGGGTAATTCATGTGACCATATTAAATGATTTTTTTAGGTTGCACAACTTTCCTTTTATCATTTGTATTGCATTACTCTTACACATTAGATTATCCTGCATATACCATAACTTAGTAATGGTAATAATGTATCTAATATCTTCTCATGCCACACTACATGGCACTGTATTTATGTCCAGTAATATTTTACTTTCAAATCCTCAATCTGCTTTACTGAGCTGTATATGAACATTGAATAAATGCACATAAAAATACTGATATTTCAAATTTTTCATTTATGTAATGGGTGTCCACAGAATGAAGAGCTACTCCTGAGGATGATATCATTATTAAACACTTAAATCTGCTTATAATTGAATTATATATAAACACACATATATAAGGTCAAATTATCTGTATTGTTATTTGTTTCTTATGTTCCAAATATATTTATTATATGTAAAGGTTTTCATACATTATATGTAAAGACATCCTTATTATATGTACAGTAAAGTTATTCATTGTTCTTTCACCTAGCGCATACTTTTTTATCTTTACTTTTACTTTTACTTTTTTATATATGTTAATAAATATGTAAGGTTTTGTTCTTTGTATTATATATGAGCTATAGCCCTATTACATTCAAATTAAAGTGAAGTATTGTGCTTTCTCTTAATTCTTACTTTTTTTTCTACGTCCAATTTTTTTTATACCTCTATCATATTACCTGCATCTTATATAATATATGTAAAGGATTTTACCCTATTATATGTATGTATCATTCCTTTACCGAGCCTTTACTTTCTCTGTTTATCCCTTTTATTGTCTGGATTTCCTCCCATGAGGCTGTCAATGAAGACATATAATTTACGATGTGTTTTATGCAGCACATTTACTGGATACATACTAACGCATATAAATGAAATAAATCTCGTTTTAGCTTAAATATAGTATATTTTCCAGGTGTAATTATACATATATTTATGCTCTTTATTTAAACAGTTATTTAAAAAGAAACAAACTTCTTGATGTTTTTGTTTACAGTATTTATTAATATGGGCTATCCTGGTAACAGCATTTGCTTATCCCCTCAGAGTTCCCCTCAATAACAAACTCTGTTTTATCACTTCATCCATATGAATAAATGTTCCGAACTAACCCACTGCCATGTTTCTTATGGCTGCAGCATCTTAACCAGAAATATTCTACGTGTTTGTGTATCTTTTTATGCACATTTCCGCCATAACTCACTCAGACGTGTTTGGCATATATGGAGTTTTGGGGATTTTCAGTGCATTTAAAAATCAAGCTCAGCGGTCAACTGAAGTGATGGTTCTGAATCGTGCACAATAAATAAGGCCGATTTGTTTGTAAGGTGATATTTTAATATTATTTACATAACAAAAAGTCTTCCACTTCCTCTCCTCCTTCGCCAGGATCAGGTGAGTCATGTGGAGTCCTCAATAGTCCTGCGCGAGCCCAGAATGGCTGCCTCACCTTATTATCCTCCTACAACTTTTTCATCAATCAGTAGCGTGGAGCTGACATTTGTCATATTATTGGGATTTTCTGGTTTCAAATGCAGACATTTTGCAGCCAAGCTTTAAATAGACTGTTGACCGCAGAATATTTGGTTGAGTGTGTGACAGGGAGAGCGAGGCGCTGCCAAGAAGTGCGTGCGGTTTGAGGTGTGTGTGTGTGTGTGTGTGTGTGTTGGACAGGAGTGGAGGGTGGCTGGGGAGGGCATTAGTGAATGGCTGTGCTATTGCATCCTCCCAGGAGACCTCTAAAACACACACACACCATAGTACCTTAGCAGCGCATTAAACCCGCCTCCTTCATCCGCAAAAAACTCCCATCTCTCTGCCGTACCTCTATAACCTCGCGCCGCCCCTCAGCTAAAGTCAGTGCACACGCTCTCTCTTCTGCCAGACGCTCAAGGAGACGGCAGTGTGTGAGGAGGACCCGCGTGTATACGCGCGCGCGTGTGTGTGTATGTGTGTGTGTGCGCATGTCTCGGGGTAAGGTCGGAGATTCCCCAGCACGCTGACAGGAGAGCCCCGCTTGTCTGAGAGCGGCAGCCGGCAGCGGGTGATAAAGCTTCAAGTGAAGAAGAGCAGCGGGAGGAAGAAGAACCGGCGGAGAGCTGCTTCATCTTGGCTTTTAAACTTGACTGCTCCTCCACGCGCTCTCCCGGCGCAGAGAAGGAAAGCAAACAAGTTGATTCCGAAGAAGGGTCGATTCAGCCAAAGCTGCACTAGATCTTTTTTTTTAAGCATCCCTTTGGAGCCCCTCTCCCCGTCCCTTCTGAGCGCGCAGTGACAGAAGGAGGGACGGGAGAACCGGGCGGACGGACCCTGAAGCTGCGCGTCTTCCCCGGTGCAGGACCCATTGGATGCGGGATGATGGATTAACAGCCTAGGCTGTGCCGCTTGACGCACGACCCCCTTGTCCACCTCGGGATTATTTCGGCTCTCACTGACCCCCCCTCCTTCCCTCTCGAGATGACCGAGGAATATGTTTTGCGGTGCGTCCTGATGCTCTGCTGCGCGCTTCTCTCGGCCAACGCGAGTAACTGGCTGTAAGTTGGACGTTCACATTTCTAAACCAGAATCCACAAATCTCCGCTCTTGTATTTCACCTGTGCTCCTGTTTTCCTCCTCATCTACACATCATCGTCTAACCCCCCACCCCGGCTCAGTGGGCGCACAGGTTAATGGTTAACCATCAGGCACACACTGTCTCTCTCTCACTTTCTCTCTTTCAGACTTAATAACTTACTAATATGGCTCTCTCTCTTCCCCCCCCCCCAAAAAAAACAACCCACAAGTTGATTTTTTGGTCAGCTGTTTGTTTTGGAGTGATTGGAAGATAAATTGCATTTTGCGCAAAAAAGTTAAAGATTTTTGTCTACATAATGTAATTAACTGGTTTTAAAAAAATTTTAACATAAAGCCCAAGAGAAAAGTGGGCAAACTCAATGTGAGGCTCCTGTGTGCTGCTCTTATCAGCAGCAAAAAGTCAAATTAGGAGGGAGTTTTTGAATTCGGTTTTTTCTCTTTTGCAAAACTGAACAATTCCTCCTACTCTGAGAAACCAGACCAGGCATAAAGTAGATAAATAAATGCATATATAGATACAAAATAAAAGTCCCCTTTCTTTAACTTGTAGAGAAACTGCAGGTTTTTATTTGAAGTAAAGTACTCCCTTTTAAACCTTTTTAAATGAGTGAAATAAAATAGCAACTTCAATTTTGCAAACAAACACTAATGGCATGGGTGCGTGACTAAAGATAAGAAGTTCAGTGAGGTCACTAAAAGCAAAACATCAGTATCATGCATTTGTTTTCAAAAGGTGTAACACACGGCCCGACGCTGTAGCCGAAGCGCACCGTGCCACCTCTTCTTCTGGGGGCCGGTCGGTTGGGTCGCGTGTGTGTGCCTGCTCTGAAGGCAGCCTGTGGGAGGTGGATAGGTGGGTTTCTGCATTCCTCTGCAGGCTCCGCTCCATTTTCTACTGCCATTCATTCCACTCACCTTTAGCAAATTTACAAGCAGTGCTCATCATTCAGGGGGGACTGTTTCATTTCCCCCCCTCTTCCATAGAATCGAGGCTCTGTTGATATGAAGTCGAGCTGACAGAGAGCTATGTAGTGACTAATAACTACAGTATTCTCAAACTGTGGTTACTCACTTGACGATTTGTATTTTTATTTCCTCGTAGTAGGGAGAGTTATAGTAGCCTTCTGTGTCTACGTCAGGCTGGTGCTGCAGACGGCCTGACTGATATTGCTGACAGATTCATCAGAGTAAGTTAAATTAAAGCCCTGCCAAACAGCACTGCCTACCTTGAACTCTGTCACTGAGTACAGGGTAATTGTGCTGTTTGGGGCTGAAGGCGTGGTGACAGCAGCACACAGCAGGCATGTACAGGCAGGCTGCCGAGCTGCCAGTCTGCTCTGCAGGATTAAACTGTTAAGGAAAATCTGTGTGTGAGTCCTCCACGCTTCAGCAAGGGTCAGAGGATGAGAAGCAGTTTCAGCATTGCTGTTACTACAGCGGCTCTGAAACATGCAATAACTACACCTGTTGTGTAACAGAGCAGGTTACCACTGTATCTCATTGGACAGAAGACGGGAGTTGCATGCAATGTTATTTACTTATACTAGGATTTTGACATACAGTAGTCTTGATGTAGTCAGTTGACTTGTGTGGAAACATAAATTGTATATAGAAGATGGACATGGCATGAGTTTTGAACACGTATTCTGTGTGAAGCCAGCAGGGGGCGACTTCTGTAGTTGCAAAAAGCTGTATAGAACTCTGTGGTAAAACTATCTTCAGGTGTCTTGATCTGTGACCTCGTTAAACACTCTCCTGATGAGTTTATGATGTCAGCTGCACTTTTCAAGACCAAATATTACGCATTGTTCATGTTGTAAATTACAAGCAAAGTCAAAATAGGAGGATAAAACAGTATGGCCACTGGCTAATGATTCATCAATCAGATGTGGTTGTTTAACGCTGTAATGTGTTTGGTTTTGCAAAGCTGAGGGAAGACGAGTCTGACTGATGCCCACTAGTGTTGTTCAATAATGGCAAAAAGTGATTACCATTATTTTGCCCAATATTGTGTTTACTGTTTTTTTTTCTGGCCAAATCAGTGGATTTCTTCACATTTTTTTTTAAAAGGGGGGATTTAAATGGGCTTCAATTATTAGTTAATAATTTAACTGAATGAATTAAATAAGTGTGAACTCAAGCAAACATTCCACAGCCTGGAGGGAAGTGTTTGGGCTTTAAAGGAGGGAGGAAAGGAAAGGGACATGCTGAAAGAGTTATATTAGCAGCTCATGATTATTCCTTTGACCAAATCTAAATCCAGTCACTACTTTTAGTTTTTGTTTTTATGTAAACAAAGCAGTGCCAAAATGCCCAAAGCAGTAGAGAAGCTTCAGATATCGAGATATATAGAAATATGCTTCAAAAGCAGACAAAACATAACAGAAGTTGAATGAGCATATTTGACCTTTAGTTTCAAATTATATATATATTTCAATATAATCAACACGTATCATGCAATAATTCAAAAGTATTAGTCTTAATAGATACTAGAAGGGATGCAGACTAAATCCAAGGATGTGCGCCTACCGTTTTAATGTGTCTTATAACTCGACTTACTTAGAAATCTGGAAATAGAAACACTGAAAATCAGGGGTTTAAAGGGACATTACAAGGATTTAGTGATACACTTCCAAACAGTTCCAAACTCTTAGAAAAATTGAATTGGCAAAATCTAAAATACCCCGAAATTAACTCTGAGAATTAAGCTCTTCATGAGCTTGATCCTACGTTGCCCATAATGCAACTTGATAGTGTTGTTATCAGACCAGTCGACCTTTCCGGCCCAGTAAATACCCACACCTTTAAAACTACTTGGCCCCTGTTTGTAACAAAGGCACTTCAGTATAATGTATAATAATAATAACATAACAATGCTTTGTCTCCAAGCCAAAATAACCCTGATGTTATCACTATGACATAATTAGGATCGGGAATATGCTGAGTCAT